TAAACGGTAAATGGCCTGTATTTTATATAGCACCTTCTAGAGTCCTGGAACCCCCGAGGTGCTTTACAACACAATCAGTCGTTCACACACACATTCACACCCTGGTGGTGGTAGGGCCTGAGGCGCACTGACAGAGGCAAGTCTGCCGTAGACAGGCACCACTGGCCCCTCCGACCGCCACCAGCAGGCAAGTTGGGTTCAGCGTCTTGCCAAAGGACTTGTGCTTGTGTGATGCTTGTCTTTTTCGGACTTTGACGAAAAATACAGTCACATGGCTGACATCGTTCTTTGCTACTTTGCTAGCACACACTGTTCTGATCACGTGGACTTTGCATGCAGGATCTGGGCGCTGATGGATAGAACTGCTGGAATGGAATTTAAAGCGTAAAATACTGCTAATATCGGAGATTTTTGATGCGGTCCGATTTAATCCGATAGTGTTTTTGGGCCGATATCAATATCGGAACACGGCATTCCTAGCTTTAAAAATATTGTGGAGATAAAAAGAAATAATGAAGTGGTTCTCTCACATTTGTTTAAAAACCTCCGCCAATGACACGGCTCAGTCTGAAACCAACCATTTGTTGTTGGTCTCACCGAACCTCCGCACTTCCCTTGGTCCTCCACTCATTACACACTCACGTATTTAGCAACAGAACACCACTGGTGTGAGACGTTCTCCGCTCAATTATACCAGAGAAGGAGAAACAGCCTGTTGCTACCACTTCAACTTTAGGTCAAACTACCCGAGTCCCAAAAAGAAAAACACCATTTGAAGTCACGGACAACAAAAGATGCTGGGACCTAGAAAACGGTGACTGGTGTTTAACACTATCTTGTTTACAGTGGTTACTGTGGTTCCAGTATCAAGGGGTGTGGCCTTTACATGGTAGGGAGCCTAAGTCACGCCCATCTACTTCCAGACCATGGGTTCCCGGAAGAACAAAAAAAATGAAAGCAAGTCAACGAGGCTAAAAAGGCTAGTTTCTAATTCCACTTGTTTTGTGCCACGGATTTCACATATGACGTCCGTGATTTTTAAAGATGCATTTTGATATTAAAAACGTGCTTATTTTTGAATGGGGGGGAAATGCTTTTCTAGGTTTGTGTGAAAATAAGTCCAGGACAACAAATGCGCATCACGAAAGTGACGTCATCAAACCAGACATGGAAACAAAACAGAGGGAAAATGGCTTTAAGTTCAGTGAACTTCAAATGCTTCCTTCAGGAGGAAAGAACCACCATAAATCTGGTCATGTGGTAAGTAGCAGCTACTCAAGGGGGAGGAGACTTTGTGATGATGTCATTCAAATTCTATTCAATTCAGAAACACTTTATTAATCCCAGAGGGAAATTCAATTGTTTCAGTACAGACAATTCCAAGATCAGACATACATACATAGACACATGACAAGAATTGGTGACTGTGGTCATTCGCAACACGAGTCACGCCACCGTTATAGATCAAGAGGGTTTATATGAGGGTAGAGTCAGGGGGAGGGAAAAAAGGCACTTCAGAGTTACCCCCGACAGAGAGGATGGCTTTGTTATGCAAAAAAACACCTCAGACAGAGATGCACACAGACTTCAGACGATACACAACATAAGTGTCCACTAGGTGGGGATGGAAGGTTCTGGGACTCTCCTCACTTCAGAGTGCACAGCCGCAGAGCAGCGCTCACCACCTCCGTTTGGACAGGGGAGCGAGATTATTGGGTTAGAGAGCACAGTGACTCCTAGAGACGGTTCCACGGCCTTCACCGGTCACAGTCCCGCCCGGGATGGGATAGGGAGAAAGAGTTTCCATAGCGACAGCAGCATTCCACATTTCTTCTGAGGGGAGTTTACACTTCAGCCTCACAGGCTCAAGGGCACCAGATTCAGATAACAGGAATTGTTTTGGGTACAGACAGAGATACTTTCCTCTCTGCCTTAGAGCTCTGTTGGTCTTCAACCCCTCTAGATCCAATAATGGCGTAATTAATCTATCCCAATCCGTGCTGATTTGTCAACCCTCTCCTTGGTCGAATCAACCTTCTGTGCCAGAGCCTGAATCTCAGCCAAAGTTCCAAGCTTACGACTCATCTCGACAATTATGTGAGTTTACATCCCGATGCAATCCATCCCTGAGCTCCGGGATTAAGCCAATATTCCTCGAAAGCTCGTTAATTTTCCGGTAAAACCATGAATATCCAGACATCTTCAGAATCCTCTACTGACAGTTGAGACAGGCAGATCAGGTTCCACTGTTTCCAGGAGTCCATGATGTACCCAGCTGGCTCTGTCCCAGAGGGGTATCCGGGAGCCCCATCTCCCGATCTCATCGTTGAAAAGATATTGTCAATCGCGTTGAAAGACCACCTGACCAGATCCATGTTTAATAATTTCCATTTTCCATAAAAAATGCAGAGAAGCGCCGTGCACAGGCAGACAGGACACACGAGCCTTGGGAAGAGCAGGGAGGGAGAGGAGAAAAAGCGTCTGTACTCAAGAGCCAGGAGCAGTTCAGCATATATGCAACGTGCAGATGTCTTGTTTGTAGTCATGCTAATTACAAATGTTTACAAGCTGATAAATCTCAAAGTACACGTCTGGCGTGGTCCAAACACCCAACATTACTTTTCATTTAAATAGCAGTACAACATATGTGCGATCCCGGGCGTGAGGCAAAGCGGGTTAGAAAATAATGTTTTTAGCTCCATTGAATTACATTCATTATTTCAGTCTTCTGGGGACCCATGAGCCGATTGGAAGGGGGGGATTCTTAGGCTCCCTATCGGTGACGGGAGGGGTGAAAGGTCCATCGCTGCGTTTGTGTTTAAAAACTAGCTTGTTTAGCAGATTTGCTGTTGCAGCTTCTCTTGTTTTAGTTTAGATGACTTTAAACGAATTTCTTTACTCGTTTTCTGTTGTGACAACAAACA